TGGAACCAATCCCATGTCTGTGCTGCACACCGTTGTCCTTGAAATCCATGTTAGCACCGGAAGAGTTGAACACAGCAGAGGAATATATTAGCCTACTTCGATGGCTGATCCTGCAGGACGTGCCCCTTCGATCGGCTGTCTACTTGGTTCAGTATGCGGTTCATGAGTGGCAGTTCATCCTAAACACTATTCGATTTCAACAAGAAACAACACGACGGAAACAAATTCGAGGCATGCGAAATTATTTCGGCTTCATGGCCGCTCTCCTTTTGTTTATCTACGATCAACCAACTGGTTGTGACCCCGCTGAGGTAAATGTTTTCCTGCTTCCGGTAGCACTTATTCTCATATTAGATGAAGTTTTGTTTAAATGTTTACTGTTTTATGTCCTCGTAGGGACAGTTCCAGTTCGAGTCAACTGTGTGTTCGGTTTTTGTTTCTTTTTATCCTTGATAAAAAATAACCAGAAAAGCACTTGGGAGATGATGGATTGGACTCCAATTCATGCAAATGACAACCAGTGGGTAACGAAAAGAAAAGCAGGATGGATGTGGAAAAATTACCAACCAAAACTTTGTGTATATTTATTTGTTTTTATCTAATGCGTTTCTTTGTTTTTCATGCTTTAATCCATTGGATTTCAGTGCACATAACATAAACGTATAAGTGGGGTTTGAAGCTACTGCATGATGCACTACACCGTTTCCCATCAGGCTTTAGCCAAAACCCACAATCCTTTAGCCTCGACCCGCAATCCTTTAGCTAAAACCCGAAATGCTTTAGCTACGACCCGCAGTTCTTTAGCCTCGACGCACAACCTTTAGTCACACCGCTGTCGGTGAGTTAGGACAAAAACTATCGGAATATTCGGAGGTCAACGAATGTTCAAAAAATTTATATTTTACAAATTTTGATATTGCAAAGCTTGACTAAAAAATGAGGTGTGGCGATCGTATGCTGCGCAGTTGACTGTAGTAACGGTATCAAATGCCGCACCACATAGTGATTGGAGTTGGTTTAGACGATGTGCCCGTATCGTCAAACCATTTGGTACATCTCGTATGGTTTCAGTGTTTTCAGTGAAGCAGTTTTTAATGTACTAAATAATAAACGAATTAAAGGATTAAAATCGCTCACATGTTTGAATTTACTGAAGATATCTACCAATGGATTAAAAAGAGAGAAATCGGACTTGGTGGTTGACATTTAATTGCGCATCCAAAGCTCTCCGATGAACGGGCGCATTGTCAAAGATAAAAACTACTGGGACACCCGGTTGCTCAGTAGCGATTAGCGTAGAGCAGCTTGATAGGAACCCATTGAAAACATGCCAAGTAATCTTTGTATGGCATTCATATTTCAGGACACCGGCGATAGATGAACAGGCTATTATGTTCAAGTTGGGTCCTTTGCTGGATGGGAGGCTTCTAATGGCTTTACAGCCCACTTTGGATCTTCCATAGCTGCGGCAGGACCATATGTTGTAGTTGGTCTCGTCAATATACAGTCTCAGGATTGCGTTGACTGATCTCTGTAACCAATCGGCATATTCCGCTCGTTTCTATTTGGCAGCTTCCGAGTTCTGTTTTACACAAGCTTTCAGCCAAAAAGAATGCACCGTTTCACCACTGGAAAAAAAGGATGAAATCATAAGGGTGACGGTACAAAAACGGTAATTAGCTAGTGAATGAATCTTAGAGCTCAGAACGGATTTGAACTTTGTAAGTCAGAATCTGGGCAATGTAAGGTATACGCATATGCTAAATGGGGTAGGTTGGTGTTTGGGTGAATGAATAGGATTTGCTAGCAGGCGGGTTGACGTGTAACGGTGGGTGCTATCAGGCGAAATTTTGTTCGCAAACTCCAAGCTGGCATCAACATATCTGTCACAAATATCGGTTATCAGAACAAGCGAGGGTATTGGCGGAACAGTTGATCATTCTGAGGCCATAACTTAGCAACATAAAGTCAGCCTTCCACAGAGCAATGAAAGTCACAGTGGAATGATGATGGCGAAGTGGTCACCAGATCAGCTTGTCGCCCCAGAGGGCATATGATCGAATCCCACCATCACCGCTCAACTTTCTCCATTTTCTATGTATGGCGGCCCTTTAGTTGACCGCTTCCTGAAAATTGTTTCTATCATTATGTATATGTATATATTCAGAAAAAAGATTAAAGGAAAATACGAAGACCACATTTGTGTTTAAAAGAAATGTAAAGAAACTAAGCCTCGGAAGCGGCATCATCCAATACCCAGTGGTTTTTATTATATGCCAACTGATGAATATCATTGGGGATGGCGAGCGACTGTTGAACATGTTGATTGCTCCATCAATTTCAAACCGGAAAAAGTGAGAGCGATTGGCCTGGAACGCTTTGAATTCCGGACCTGTGTCGTGCCTTTGGGAATGGATGTAATCCTTACCGGGTGCCAAAACTAACGAATGATTCGTATTTCAAACATAAGAGGTTAAATATATGTGCAAGAAGTTGAAGTTGGTTTTTTTCAGCTGCCCAAATAGTTAGAACCCACACCACATAAATTTACAATCACGCGTTCGAAAGAATTGGTTTGCATAGAATCCAGATTTCTTATTTCGCATCTGAGAGATAGGGATGATGGCTCAGCTTCGAGCATCCTGCTACATATAAGCACCTATCCCTTCTCACGACAAAGATGAATAAGAAAAATTATTAATATCGTATCGTGCTCTAGAACCAAAGTGGTATTAGAACAGGAAGTCGAAAACGTCGTTTCAGATAGCGGTAACAGATGTTACACTGGGTGGCAGAGGGATGGCGAAAGGGAAATAATCAGTAACAACTTAAACTGACTTCCTTAGAAGAGCAAGATGTTCAGAGGAAGGGTTACGCTAACAAAACATGAAGTTTGCTGTTGGAATTAGCATGTGAATGAATAACTGAACAAAATTTTGTCCAGCCGAGTGTGTCGCGGTTGGTAACCTCTGAGCTACAGAACATTGTTTCGAATCTTCGCTTTGGTTCACTAACGTACTACTTTGGATGGTATGTTCATCAAGAATACGCCCCGTGTCGCGGATTAGAGATTTGTGACGAGTGATATCCTGAAGATGATCAAGTATCAGGTTTGATGAGATCGAACTATGATTTCTGTTGTTTTGGTGGGGAAGATGTTTGGAAGGAAATATTTCGGGACGCTTAGAAATAATCTTAAATGGAGCACGCTCTATTGGGTCCATGGATAAGTTCACGGAGGGTGGGTTTTTTTATTGCAGACATCTGTGTGCTGAACAACAGACCGGGTGGACCCCTCAGTAACGAAGACCTGCTATTCACTGATGAAAACCGGCAATCTAAGCCCCGCGAGACTTGCAGTGGCGAACCACATAAGGCTCTACTTGGTTAGGCATCGTATTTGGACAGACGACAGCTAAGTGGTGGTGTTGGGGTTCGAACCTCGGACCTTAGAATCAAAAGCATGCCTCTAGCAACTACTAAACCTCTGCACCACCACTACTTGAAGTAGAACAAAGGATTCAATAGATCGTGATTAAACTAACCAACAATCATTTACAAGCTCTCTACAAGAGGTAGCACAAAATCTGGTTAGAAGTTATTGTAAAAAGGGTCACTATCTGATGAGCTATAGTACGTTAATCTATCTGTCATAGATGCTAGCATTAATTGCATTTGCTGAACCAATCATTCGAACATGTAACCTCTTTTCTATCTCATGTCAGGCGGATACCTTACAAAAGGCATTCGAACCATTTTTTGATTCCACTCGTATCGACTTCACTTTGTCGGAAACTCAAGCGAAACGTCCAAGACTCGCTCGCCCAAATGGTGTTCCCAACCCTACCGGTTCCCATGAGAATACGGTTCAAGCAGTTTTCGGCCGATTGCTTTCATCCGAACGTGAGGATGCGTATCTGTGGTACGTGCCAAAAGAAATAGACATGTAAACACATCATTCTTGTTCCTCCAGCTAGTTGTGTTTTCTGACCGTTTTTTATCCAGGAGTAAAACTGCGCCCCCCCCCCCCACCCCAGAATGTTCACAACCGTACGTACTTCAGTCCCGTAGACGTCTTGTAACTTACCGCTCAGATTTTTGCCACTGACATCACACTCCAATCGCTATCTAGGAATGAAGCACTATTATTGATTACAATAACACTAACTTGTTTTATCCTTATGGATCAACCTGTTGAGTTTTGGTTGAAGCGTTCAGTTTATTCCTTCCAATGTGGTCTCAGCGCCTGGTGGAACAAGTTTCTCACCCATAGCAGCGGTCTAGCTTCGAAACCACACCAAACGCTTGATTTCAATCCAGTGTAGTCATTCTGTCTTGTATGTATGTATGCTAGAAAACTACGAATAAATCTTCTTGGGCATGCATTGCTCACGGTCAAACACGGAAAAATGACAATACGAAATTTAAGGAAACCACTCGGGAACCTTGTTACATTAGATTGTTCACGTCCGTCTTGACTCTTCGATGTGAGTGTCCGAGGTCCGCTTGTCATTTGGTTAGAAGCACTGGCCTAATATTGTAAGCAATATTTTTTATCCGTCCAGTTTAATATGTGATCTGTTCTTTGATTTATCGTGTCCCAGCTAAATCAACTCATCTCGCTGCATTCTTTTTGAAATCCTCATCTTCTTACGTGTTTCTCCAAATTTCGTTTGATGTTCGTTAGCTTGTTGTGTTAACTAGTCCATTTTGCTTGCGACAGTCTACCTCGATTTATTAATTGCATAGTTAGCTACCAAACCACTACCCAGTTTTGCACATTAATACTCCTCTCATGGATTCTGTTCTGTCCCGCTTCCAGGTGGCTGATTCTGGATTGGTCAGTACGTTTCAAGTGGCAGCGCATGGTATCCACGTCCCTTCAGGAGTCCTCTCACTCTTTGCTTCTGTGGTTACAACAGTTACTTAACCTCGTCATTCCTCACATAAATGCTGTAAAGACGTACGTCGTTATTCAGTGCTCTATTAGCTTCGATACTTGTCTCTTTTTGTTCTTCAATTGTTTTTTGTTCGCTCAGATAAGATAAGATGAGATAATGACCAGTAGAAGGAATGAAACTCACGGTCACGAAAATCTACATACTCTTCATTGATGTGGAACCAGCACCCCGAGCATTCAAACTTGAATTGAATTCCCCAATAGTGCAGCGTTAGCATCAAACCGGTGAACGCAGTGACAACGACTTGAAATCAAGTGCTATTTTGCTGTATACGTAAGCGTATATTTGTGTACCCTCCAGGTAATGAATATGAGCATATTACTCCATCACGTGAGTGATAACTGAATTAAAGTCAAGAATAATCGGTTCATAGTTCACCCAATCCTTCTCATTCATCTAAATGGGCGGCCAAATATACCCTCATGGTGTGACATTTGATCTCAAGAGTCAGCTTGAACAAATGATACTTAACTTCTCTTTTGTTCTACAGTACCGGCATGGGTCGACTTAGGAGACACTATGGAAACTGATCAGAACAGTTTGTCTTTGCACTGATACGCATCGGCCTTCAATGCCTGAAGCTCAAACCCCGCTATAAACACTCAACTTTGGTGTTTTCCGGTCCAATACCAAGTTAATCTTACTGGAGCTTTCCGCTCTTTCCTCTGGCTTAGTTTAACTGTTTCATCGCCAGAACACTGGGGGCCTCGTGATCATAGAGTTTGTTTCTCCTACTGTAAGTCATACATTGCGAACGAAACGTACCACGCCCTCCAAGATTTTTGTATTATCTCAGCTCTCATGTGCGCGATCATCACCGTTTTTAATAATCCAGATGTCAACCGAATAAAAAAGCCGAAATACAAAATTTCATCAAGTTACCTTTTATTTTGCCCAAAATATATTAATGAGAAAATTTTCACTGTGACAAAAGTGTACCCTCTGCACACTTTGTTCATTGGAACCAATTTCATACTGGGCTGGCTGACCTCCTTTATCTTCCAAATTTCTTCTGCGCGCATGACTGGCTTTCATGACTTGAAACTACCAGCCCAGCTACGTATTATTTACTTTAACTGAAGCATTAGCAAAAATTCCACGTTCGTGCAAGTTTTGTTGCCTTCCTTCGGGATTGGGGACCACAGGAACTCATCTGGTTTCCACTTAGAAGTACCATGTTTGATTGGTTACGTGACAAAAACACTTCAACACTTCCAAGCCAATCCGCTATCTCGTCAATTGTTGGCATTTGTTCGACCTACTACGTTCTTTGTAATTCATTCACTTTTCTTCTATCGTCTTCGCAAACAGATTGTCAAAATACACAACAGTCAAATCGAGAATGCAGTAGATTGTTGCTTGAGTTGTACGGAGATGGACAATAAATGATACATACACTCTATCTATCTTTCTCCCCCTCCCCCTTTATGAAAGGCCGCTCGCGCAGGAATGCATGCTAACCGCGGCGCTCACATGCGTTACTGTGGTGCGTCACACAACGGAAAGCCAGCAATCACGGGATAAAACCATAGCGGCTCCCTTGACGGTTGGTTCACGAGCGGAGTTATCACACGCACTGTACACTCTGTGGACATCCGTGGTTCAGTACGTCTTTGTTGATCGCAAACGAATTGATAAAAATGTGAACCTTACAGATCTCTCTCTCTCTCTGTCTGCCCTATACTAATGATTCCTTTCAACCCTCGAAAACTTTGCGTTGGGCTTCTGGTAATCTTTTTAAACCATGATATTTTATATCAATTACTATTGCAAACGCATTCTATGTATCGGGGCTTTTTTAAATAAAAGGATACATGCCACTGAAATTTTCACTCCGGTAAGTTAAAAAACATGCCATCATTATTCTTGGCGGTGGGTGATGCAAGGGTTGATGATCGGTTTTGTTATAAATCACAGAATACATTCCCTCGATAATTAATTCTTTCTTGTCTGTAAGACGAATAATGAATTCAATCGTCATTCGCGTTTTTTCTTCCGATTGCATAATGCAAAAAAATCGAAAGAGTCATAATCACCAGCATATGTCGTATAGTGCAGATAACCGATAGTTCTAGTTTGGGGATTTGAAATAGCGAATCGCTCGAGGCCCCCAGATAGAAAAAAAATGATTACGAGTAAATTGACGGTACAACTCTGTTCTATCCAATTGAACTGGTGGGGCTATGGGTTTTAGTTTTTCATTAAAACAAATTGAACCACTCAAGCACTGCATTCTAACGCTTCTGTACTGTTGATTCCAAAAAAGTCCATGTAATTTGCTCTAGGTGACTGTCTGTCCGGCAACTTTTCATTACCCGAAGGATTTTCCCATTAATATTAATGTTTCATGCACCCATCGTTTTGAATTTGAACAAAGTGACTATTGAATGTGGTTCGCCACTCCAAGTTCCGGGGGTTAGGTCGCCGTTTTTCATCATTGAATAGCAGGTCGTCGCGACTATAGGGTCCACCTCCTGTTTGCTGTTCATCGATACCATATACATTGATACAATATATATTTATTTAACGATGGTATTTTTCGAAGATTTTTCCAACGAATATCCCTTTCAATTTTCTGTTTCAACAGGCTGGCAGATCCAAAACCCTCATGGCCAGATCCTTCTCATGATGCTGGACGCGACAGTTCATCACTGTCCAAAACGGTAGCTGTTTCTCTGGATCGTTTGTCGTTCGAAGTTCTCACTGAATTGATCCTCTGTTGTCGATCAGGATGGGCGGTTCATTTACGTTCCCGTTTGGCTACAGATCTACAATCTCGGTTTTGTCGGGATCAGTTTGCCCAATTCTCTCCGATGAGCATTCATCTGTCTGTCTGGCGCGTTCGTTTCGTCCTTATCAGTGGTTTGATACTCCAACAATGCCATTTGTGTCACATCGGTCCAGAGTATCCTCTAGGGATACGGGTGAATCCCAGTTTGGCATTTTTTGTCCATCACTACAAGCGTATATTGCGTTTATTTCAAACACGCAAATCAACAGACAGTAGCGAATCCGGGCAGCTAACCAATCTACCCGTTCTCCTAACCGGACTCTACTGGTCATCTGTGTTCGTTCTCTCTCATACAGATTCATCAAATGTGGCACAGTTGTTCATACCATCTTGTCTTCTAAGTGATCAACAATCCTGTGATACAATTGATTTTCTTTTGAAGATGTGTGATCCACATGAATCGAATTTGGATCCTAACGGGGATATGATCAGACTTCGACTAGATTTGGTCCGCTTCCAACTCATGGAGCTTCGAATCCACTTCACAGCGAATCGCACTCCCGAGATGAATTACCTCTGTCTTCCTGACGACGTTCATCATATTTTAAGCTCCATTTGGGACAAATTGATCCCAACTTTATCCATCTCCGTTTACGACTCTTCCTCTCCAGATTCGAACAGCGACAATCTCAGATGGGCTACGCTTCTTCTATTCACTTACGCAAAAAGTCCTGCAATTCTGAAACGCGAACAAATCGCTGCCTTTATGACCATCCTACAACGATCGGTACCCGTGTTTATGCGTTCTACGGGGGCACTCCATCAGACAAACAGTATCCATTCCGTTAGCCCCAGTCATCAGGGAACTTTCGACGAAGACGAACAATCAGGTGAAGTACAGCGTCAAGCAAAGCATGGCCAATCGCTAGACAAACATTACCTAGAATTGCTCGGTGAATTGTTACGCTTTTCATTAAGAACTGGTGACTTGGAAGTGGTTGTTTGCATACAAAGGCGGTTAACTGATGAACTAACTCAGAGTTCTTGTGGTGATACGGTTGAGGCAATCCATTGGTATTGTTCCCTGGTGAATGTTGTTCACCTTGCCTTGCGTTCCCTCGACTCAATCGATTTTACTCCGAAAGAGGATATCTGTGCGGCATTTATCAGTGTCTTAATAGATGCACTCCGAGAAGCCTTCAAAGCTCGACTGGCCCGAGGTAGCTCACAGAAAAGCATGCTTCATTTAATCTATCTAATGCGAGCCTATTGCCAACTGGTGGACTGTGTTTGTCTGCTAGTCGAACGGTTTGAATTGCAGTCCCAAAACGAACGTTGGCGGGTCATCGGATGTCATTTGGATCAGTTGTGTCAAACCGTGTGGGCAGTATGTACCAAGCGTTCCTCGGGACTACTTTTCGGTCTGGAATTCTGTACTACCGAATGTTTGTATGCTTGGATAAGTGTAAGTTGTTTCTTAAATGTTACTCCCTTTCGTTTCATTTCTTCTTCGATCATCGTGACTAATCTCAAGTTATGATTGTTTCTTAAACGTGAAGTATCCATTTAGATCAGAAGCTTCTCTTACTCTAAGAATGTTTTCCTTTCGCGGACATTCTGTACCAAAATGAGAACACAAACCTAGATTAATAAAGATCTGAGTAGAAAGTTTGCTAACAAATGTCGACGACTGATATCTTTTCAGGACTTGAATGAGTATTGGTAATCGTTAAACGTCGGTGGATTGCATTGGGTTTTTAAATTCTTTCCAAATCTTCCTGATCGTGGGAAGACTAGGGCTCACTGGCGGTCGGTGTTTACGTAGATGTTATGTTCTTGAGACGCGGTCCACACGTTCATATTGCCTAGTATATATATATATATATATATATATATATATATATATATATATATATATATACNATAAAGGCCTGGGGCCTTTGGTTGTGTGAACAAATCAAGTGAGAAATTTCGTGCGAACCTATTCTAACTCGGTCAGTTGAATTATTTGTCTACCATGCTACAGTTAATTGCACGCGCGACCTTATCAACGCCCACTTATGGTGATGGCTGTTTGCGATTGGATTAGTTAGTTAGATTTTGTGTATTCTCTCTAATCTGGTTCGTTGCTTCACTGTTGACTTTAATCCCATACTGACTGCCCTCTTTGGTTGAACTAGTTGCGTGCTCTTGGACTTACGGGAGCCAATTCCACTCCGGATTACTGTCTGTTAAGTTTACTGCAGCACCGTGTGCCCACAGTCCTGTTACGCATTGTTGATTTTCTTCAAAGGTAAGTTTCCCTATCTGTCCAACGTCCGTAAAATGTATATCTCTTAAAAAGTACTACCCGAACCCAAATCATGACCCCGAAAACTTACTCCGACAATATCTCCTATCTGCATAGTAGCCAGTCTTAACCGGTAGTGAGAATAAGTGCTCGTGACTTCGGTTGTCGATGCTCACATCACAGTGTCATCTAGAGCATTGATAAAATGTGCGAACAAAATCTCAACTTCGACGAGCAGAGAGTGTCTTCTGGTACACAAAACACTTGGATTCGACGATCCATTCAATTGGCTGTAAATATCCACACTTATTTAATCAAACTTCATTCTTTGATATCTGAAATAACCAGTTAATACTAGTTAATACAATAGTTATTTGAGACTTCGGTCTCGGTAAAGATGGAGGATTGGTGTGCCCATCAATACAGGAACCGTGCAGCACAGAATCACAAACAAAAGTTAATCAATCGCCAAAAAACTGAAGACTTCAAAACAGCTGAGAAACATTAACCACGCGAAACACTTTGACGAGACATTATTTATCAATTGAGAGAATGTCATCCACTGTAATAGCACAACTTATGAATGCCTTGTCGGACCGATGCAACTTGATCCACTTAGGGACGATATGCATGAAAGGTATGGATCCATAAAAAGCTACAGCCTTCAGTGCATACTTCAGCTTTTAACTCGGTCAGTTCTTCAGGTTTCTTCATGCTCAATTAGCCAACTGTCACGGAGAAAGCGCTTTGACAGAAAATAACAGCATTGAAATGCGAAGCAGATGTCACTCGGGTTTTCAATAAGTCCTCCACTTCAATTTCAGTTTAAACGACCATTAAGCATGCATTTCCGTGCGACGCTTTTGGCTGCCCATTTGGGTGAACAATAGGAGGAAAACAAGTTGGTTGAAAGTAGGATCGAAGAGAAAATTGAGAAATTCAATGAACTAATGATGCAGGGAAATTAAGAAGATGCACGAACGCCACTTTTTACGACACCCAGCCATATCATATCTCTAACCGTCGTTTACGACTATCCCGAGGTCCCCAACCAGGGAGCCTAACGGGACCTATGTGACCCAGTTTCCTGGTTAGGGTTTTCATACCCTCGTGCCAGGTCTTAACTTGATCACCCTTGG